ACTCCGTAGACATCGTTGGTACGCAAAACGCAAACAACATCATCTCGACTTCTACGGACGGTGTGGTTTGCGGTTGGAGTATGGACGTGTTCGCCCAACCACAGGAGTTGCTGGAGCTCAAGGCGCCCCCTGGATACAAGTTGGACGATGTGAGCCCTACATGTTTGGCGTTCCCGCAGACCGATCCTACCTTCTTCCTCGTCGGCAGTGAGGAAGGCACAATCTTTCCTTGCCACAGATACGACCGCGCCGGTGCGAAGGCTGGTGTAGATGCTAGAGTCAGCTACAAGGGCCACACCGCGCCGGTCATGTCCGTCGACTTCCATCCCGCCCGAGGTCCCGTGGACCTGGGTGATCTGGTACTTTCTTCCTCCCTGGACTGGAGCGTTCGTTTGTGGAAGGTCCGCGCGCCGGCTGCAACATCGACAGCTGGAGGTGAGCCATCGGTCTCGCCCCTCATCGACTTCGTGCGGGAAGACGTCGTCTACGACGCGCAATGGTCCCCGATCAAGCCTAGCGTTTTTGCATTGGTTGATGGAGCAGGATGGCTGGAACTGTGGGACATCACCGTGGAGACCGAGGAGCCTGTCGCGAGAATTTCGCCAAGCTCTCGCAAGGATGGTAGGACCATGCTTGCAAAGAGCTTGAACAAGCTTACCTGGGAGCCGTCGGAGGGCAAGCGTCTGGCCACGGGAGGTATTGATGGAGTTTTGACCGTCTTCGAGGTAGCCTCTGGCCTCGGTGGCAGGGACGATCTGAAGGCAGAAGAGTGGACAAATGTGAAGAAGCTGGTCAACAGAGTTGAGGCACACGGCCTGAATGGAGCGATGGTGTAGAGAACTACTGTGGACTTTGCGTGTACTCATTCAGGGTGGGAGTCACAACTATTCGATTTGTTGGTAAAAGGCGTCTTCCTGTATACCCTGATACCGTGAGCAGCAGCATTCAGCATGCCAATTTACTAGATGAAATCTCCAGCGTCTCAGTGTGTCAACCGCTAAACATATGCTCTTGTTTATTGACATGAGTACGTAGTCGGTTCCCACCATACCCACACGTCGCCAAGAGAGCAAGCATTGCCAGGATCGTCAGCTTAGTCATCACGTACATAAATGAACTTAGCCGAAGCTGACTTTTTTCACCCATTTTCTCATCAACACCTTCGTACATTTTGCTGCAAACGTAGCTTGTCTGCAGGTCACGCAGGCATTCCACGGTCATGGTAAGTTTATTGCTGATACCTCTTACTTCACTGGCACTATGATGAGCGAACAAGAATTCTGCAATGCTGAAGGCCTTCCGGCCGTCCTGTGGATAAAATCTTTGCCTCACATGCAACTCTGAGCCACATCTTATTATGCCCCTGTTCAATTATCTTACTTGACGTACAGAGAGCCGGGCTAACATGTCAAAGCATTAAAAACAGATGATATAGGTCCCTCATGTGTTGATGTGAGCTCCGGCAGGGTAACGACCACCGGCAACCTCAAACTTGGCCAGTGTCGCGTCAATCTCTGCCAGCTCCGCGTCTGTAAACTCCACCGCTGCTGCCTTCGCGTTCTCATTGACTCTCTCCGCCGTCGTTGCGCCGGGAATAGGAATTACCACGGGCATGCCGGGCTTCTTGGAGATGGCGAGGGTCCAGCCGATGGCGAGCTGAGCGGGAGTGACACCCTTCTTGGCCGCCAGCTCCTCGACCTGCTTGACGAGCTTGAGGTTGATGTCGAAGTTTTCCGGCTGGAAGCGCGGCATGATGCGGCGGAAGTCACCCTCAGGAAGGTCCTCGAACTTCTTGATCTCGCCGGTCAGCAGGCCACGGCCAATGGGTGAGTAGGCGATGAGCGGGATGTTGTGCTCCGCGCAGGCAGCGGCAATGCCGTTAGAGAGGACGTCGGTCGAGAAGAGGCTGAGCTCGACCTCGACGCCGACAATCTTGGCGTGCTTGACCGCCTCCTGGATCGTCGCGGCAGAGACCTCGGAGAGGCAGAGGCCGCCGACCTTGCCGGTATCAATGTACTCCTTCTGGATGATGCCGAACGTGACTTCGAGGGGCGTGTTGGCGTCGCGGCGCGCGCACTCGAAGATGTCGATCTTCTTACGGCCCTTGAGCTGGGTGATGATGTTATCCAAGGAGCGGCGGATGCCTTCCGGCGAGCCGTCTGGGTGCAGGTTCTGAACATTGACCCCGCCCTTCCAGCTGACGACGACCTTGTCGGAGTCTTCAGGGTATTTCGCAAAGTAGCGCTCGAGGAGCGTCATGCTGTTGTACTCTGGCTTTCCGTAGAATTCGCCCGCGTTCCAGAAGTTGTTGCCATTCTGAAGGGCGGCACGCATGGCCTCGAAGGCTTGTTCCTCAGGAGCAGGCTTTGCGCGCCAGGTGAGGCCCATGAGACCGTAGCCGATGGGACCAATTTCTTGTCCGTTGATTTGAACCATTGTGGTGGTGCTATGCGAGTGCTCGTTTGAAGTTACTTGAGCGACTTATCGTGGCTGCGGGGTTATGGTGCAGTGTAAATGTTGAGTTGTGCGGGTTGCTGTTGATAGAGAGGATTGCATCGGCGGGGGGGTTGAAGACCTTATATAGAAGCCTATGGAACGTCTCAGTGTGATATCACCAACTTGGGTTCTCACGGGAGCAAACTGGGCCGCTGTGGACAAGTACCGGAGAGCAGCTTCAAATCATGACGATGGCGCGAGGTACATTCGTGCCGCCAGCGCCGTACCTTAAGCTCCGCCGGACGTGGGGGCGCCTGCGCAGTGCTGTCGTTCATTGGAGACATTGGGGTGAACGCCCATCGGCTTTAGCTACAAAGCAAATCCTCCATTTCCGATCGGTCGGGATTGTCTCCAATTGAAGGCGGGACCTGGACTTAAGCTTCTTATCAGCGTTGATCACCCTGCACACCAGACCCTAGAAGTGGCATACTGCCGGACGTAACCAACTTGTCAGATTCTTATTTCGTGCACCAGGCACGACGCTCTCGGAAGTCGCTGACTTGCTTTTCTCCGAAGTTACCTATTTGCAGCATCGAGTGCAGCATCGAGTGATGCTGGCAATGTACGCCGTCGCGAAGCTTTTCTTACGCAACTGCTCAGCAACACTATACGCTACAACCCTCTACGTCGGCTTTCACACATTCTTTGTCATGAGAATTCCGAGGCAATTCACGCCCTACAAAATATCGTATTGAATCCACGGAGAGCTACTGCATCTCCGAACCGAACAGACTTCTATCGTTTCTACCGATGACGTTACATGACTGAAGGACACGCATGCTAATGGCTGAGTGGAATCAGATGTCGACCAACTTTTCAACAGGAAGCTGATGCTGCACCTGCTGGGCCTTCTTGGCTTGGAGAGCATTACCGTTCGCCATCTTCCTCTTGCCGCTCTCACTGGAAACGGGCACGGGGGACGCGTTCGCTCGAGCCCTCTCAACCCCAAGTCTCACAGAATGGACCTCTTCCGCCGTCTTGCGCTCCTCCTTGTCGTTCTTCATCTTCACCTTCTTTGACTGGCTCACAGTGCCAGTCGCAGAACCGCCGCCCGAAGCCTGCCCGGGACTTTTCTTCTCGCCGTTGCTGATGCTAGTAGCTGCAGCGGCCCCGGCGGCAGAGAAAATACGAACGTCAATGGTCCCCTCGACAGGTAGCCCGGCCGACTTACGCCACCAGCCCGGCAGTTCGGTGAGGCCCACGTCACTGAGCCCCTCGAGTGTCACGGGCATCTGGTGCGTGTACCGGCAATCCGTACCGAAGCTGCACTGGCCTGTCTGACACCAGTGGCGGCACAGACTGCCGGCGGGCCGGGCGGGCTTTGACTTATTACCCTTATTGCTCTTCTTGCCGTTGTTGCTGCCGCCATTATTCTTCGCGACGGCTTCGGCAGACAGAGCAACAGCCGGCGCCGAGGTCGAACGGTGGGCGAGCTGAGGAGCGAGTCGATGGGCAGAAGCAGCGGCAGCGACTTCGAGCATGCGTTGGGCAGTCTCAGCCGTCGACTTCTCCTTGGACTTGGGGGATTTGCTCTTGGAGACGCTTCGTCGCTTGTTATTGCTGCTGCTACTGCCGGAAGAGTTCTCTGCGCCAGAGAAGTCGTCCGTGGAGACGGATTCTGTGTCCTCGGCCCAGTCCAGGACGCGCCGGGGCGGCGGCATCATCACCGGCGGAGGGCCCTTGGCTCGGGATGATTTCGGGGGATCTCCAACACGTGTGTCGGCTATGGGTTTAGTGGTGACCTTGGGTCTATATACATGGATGGTGAGTAAGTTGAAATAGTTACGAGATGGTGGGAGCCTACGCCTTGGCGGGAGCTTCGATGCACTCTAGCATTGGCTCGCGAGTTTGCGCAACCGGCGATACAAAGTTCAACTGGAGGTCGCTCAGTGGCTTAGGGAATTCGCCGAGGTTGGACATGCCGACGGTCTCGCTGATTGTGAGCTCCTTTGGCAAGCCGATGATCTCGACATAGTCAGGTAAGAGGTCGATAGGGATGACGGGCACAAGAGAGTTACGGGTGCCGCCCTTGCGAATGATGAAGTGCTGCGGCCACGAAACGAACGGGCGCGCTTTCTCCGAGGAACTGATCTCATTGTGTGGGTTATGCATAGACTGAGAAAGGCCTCTCTTGTCCTCGGACGGAGGTGCTGCGGCGGACGCCATGTGTTGCTCGTGATACGTTTTCGTGACGAGCTGAGAAATGAGGAAAAGGGGGGCCATCCTCGCGGGTTAAAACATTGTCCTTTCAAGACTTTTGAAGAGGGGACGACGGGAAGTGCCGACCTCCTATTCCTATCTCTGTTTGTCGATGGAGCTGTGATAGATGCCGGGTATCTTAGTGTTGCCGCGGCACCATGCGTCTATTCCATGTCGTTTGCTTAGAGACTCTAAAAAAATGACACGCAGAGCTAGACGCATCAAGCAAGCCATGTGCAGCTTCCCGCCGCCACCCATCTCTATGGGCTCCACCACTTGTATCCAGCCTGACTCTACTGTAGTTTTTACTTGTCTTCCACCCGGATCTTGACATCCAACCCGTCTACGCAGAAGCCCAATTGTCTAGGCCCATCCTTGAGCTCAACTTCTCTCTTGACCCATCTTCCACCCTTGCCCTCTTGCGCCGTGCCTGTTTCCTCCTCACCGCTCCTCGCAATTGCGCCAGCAGCATCCTCTTCGTCGCTGCTGTCTTCCGCCTCCTCGTCTTCATCGAACCCAGCCACGGGGTCCCACTCGCCCGTCTCCCAAACCAAACGCAGGCTGAGTGGATCCTTACCAAACAACCTGCCCGCAGTACCCTTGACGGCGTAGATGTCGGACGATTTTGGCAGGTGGGTAGTTTTGGTTTTGTTTGCAGTCGTGTGCGGGTAATGAAAGTGAACCGTGATCAGGCGTGCCTCTAGATAGGAAGGATTGATCTCGTCGCGGCGAATAACGTCAGGAGCGCCATAGATGGTGCAAAGCTCAGTGTATCGGGCGTGCTGTGCAAGGACCTCGGGCTCAGCGGCCTCGGGGACGGAGGCGAGCTGCTTTGCGATGCGGGAAAGATAGAACATTTCGGCGTTGGAGCGGTCCGAGGTCGAGATTGTGGTGAAGTTTAGGGCCTTGAGACAGCCCAGCCGGCCGATGGTCAGCATGTAGGCCTCATCGGTAGACTTCGTCTGATTGCCTCCGCCTTGGATTTCGGGATCAGGGCGTTCGTAGATAGGGTTGTGGGCGAAGCGGAGAGCGTTCAGACCCGGAAATGATGCCGGTAGGGCGTCAATAAAGGACCAGCTTGTTACAGCGTTGTAAGATACGTCCAGGTACTGCAGGCTCTCAGGAAAGACGGGAGCCGGAACGGATGTAGGAGAGATCGTAGATATGTTGTTGCCCTTGAGATGGAGATTACGCAGAGACGTGAGAGACGACAGGACAGACAAGTCTGCGAGAGAAGTAAACTCATTGAACTCCAGATCCAAAGTCGTCAAGGTATCGCTGAGGTGACCGAACGGCACTGTCGGGAGCGTGGAGAGCTGGTTGAGACTGCAGCTTAACGATGACAGAGAGGGGAACTTGCGGGCGAGGCCAGATAGAGACTCCCAGTCTAACAGCGTTTCCTCAAGCTCCAGGTCGTTGACCTTCATAAAGGCTTGCGTCTCGTCATCTTCGATGACTCGAAAGCGGTTGCCACTGAGCAAAGATTAGCCACCATCGTGAGTGAAGAAGGGCTGCGTAACGCACTTGAGTCTCAAACTCCTCAGATCTTCCAGCTCTCGACAGATACGGACGACTTGTCGGAACTCTTCGAACAAATTTCTGCTCAGATCGAGCTCCGTGACCAGCGGGCTCGTTTCCTTGACGCTCTTATCCTCAGATGCTACGTCAACTGCAATCCGCGTCCCGTCAAGAATCACAATGGTCAGGTCCTCAACGCGCGCGAGCTGGCGGCGAATTTTGTCGAAGCCGACCTCTTCTGCCGGCTTCTTCCCGAAGAAGACTATCTGGATCTCGGGCTCGCGCTCCGCCGCCTGCTCAGAGGCATACTTGCCGTTCAGAGCTGCCACGAAACTCTGCGGCGCGTCAGCGGGGCGGGTCGGGCGCACAAACGAAGCGGCGGTGGGAGATTTCGAGAGACCTGACACAACGATTAGAGACTCAGAAATGCCAGATATAAGCGTCCAGGGTGGGTACATGTGAAATATCTGACGTCCTTATGCTGGCCGTCATGCTTTCCTCGTCCCGTGTCATCCCATTCTACACCGAGCCAGGTGCCTGACGTGCCGGCAACTGCGCCGATGTAGCGAACTGTGCAAAGCGCACCATCGTAAGATAGCCGTTGGCCGATATGGTTTTCAGGCGCCATTTTGTCGAATACGGCGAGCTTTTGTCACCGTAAAAAGTGACTACTGTCGAGGCACATTATCTAGGTCGTGGTTCTGCAGCTGTAGCGTTCAGGAAATAAGTTCAATTTAGTGGAGGTGAGGTGGTGTTGTCGCTGAACACCACAATTGTTAGTGGGCCACATGCACCACAGCCGACGGCATCAGGAGCGTCCCAACCATGATCGTTCGATTCATATTTAGCAGAAAGAAATATGCTAAATTTCGCCGGAATGATATTTTAACTTCAAATGCCACACATTTTCACTCGTACAACTAGAATTCTACAGCTTCGACTTGAGAGGCTCCACAACCTTGATCAAGGCGCGTCCGTTGCTCAGAACAATCTTGCCTCCCTCAACCTTGGTCTGGAAGCGGATCTCCTCAAAGCCGTCCTTGACCTCCCCAGTCCGCCAGGCATCCGTCACCAGCTTGTCACCGGGCATGACGGGGGCAGCGAATCTCGCCTGGTACTCCTTGATGTTGGCAGGGTTGCTGCCGCCGAATGCCTCAAGCAGGCCGTGGGCCGTAGAGTTCCACGAGTACAGGCCATGCATGATGGCACCGGGGAAGCCCATCTTCTTTCCGGGCTCGGGAGTTGCGTGGAGGGGGTTGTAGTCGCCGTTCAGTCGGTACAGCAGGGCCGACTGCTTGTTCGTTTGGTGCTCGAAAGTGACGTCGGGCTTCTTGTCCTTCGGCGGGGGGAAGTTCTCAGTCGCAGGACCCTTGGGGCCGCCCCAGTTGCCCTGGGCGACGTAAAAACTGCTAGTAATGACGCTGGCGTAGACCTCGTTGGATTCAGCATCGACGAGGTCGGTCTGGGTCTCTACGACGGATCCGGGGCGGCCCTTGTCGTAAACGCCGAGGACCTTGGTTCGGACTTCGAACTTCTTTCCCTCCGAGCTTGTGGGGAGGGACTTGTGAAGCACAAGTTTGCGCTGGCCGTCGACGACGCGGCGGGGGTCGAAAGAGGGAACATTCGGGATCTGAACAGACTTCTGGGCGGCGTAGAAGTCAATCACGTCCTGGGCGTTGCCCTTGAAAGCTAGCCAGTTGTCAGTTGCGGAAGGGTTCGTATGCGCCGCGTGGTGGCCTACAGAGGATAATGGGATAGGTCGGGAAGACGGCGAAGTTCGGGTGAAGTTCCTGTAGATCATAAATTAGCCAAAAATTACAGCCAGCAAGCAAATAAGCAGAAGAGAACTTGCATAGAGGAAGTGCAGCTCCTGATCGGTGCAGCCGACGGTGTTCGCGAAGAGCAAGACATCACGCTTTACCCAGGAAACCTCCTGGCGAGGATACTCGAAACCGACACCGGGACCACTCATGTTGACTATCGAATGCAAATGTCGAAGATGGTTCTCAGAGAAAGCGGTCGGAACGGGAGATCGATTGGTAAACAAGGGTAAGGAGTTTACTTGTCATGTCAGGTTGCGCTTCGGCCGAGCTTGGGGGGGCTTTCTGGCGGTTTTAACTGCTGCTGGGTAAGCTTCCCTCGGCGCAGCTCTGGTCAGCTAACCGCAGCGCTCCAGTGGCAATGAAACGTCCCTGGCTAGATGAGTTGCCAATGCCGAGGTCCAAATGTGGGGGTGGAGTTGCGCCATGCTTGTAACCCCGGATCTTGACTTCGGGATCTTGGACGGCTCAGTGGCCTCTGCTGTTCCAGGAGAGGCTTAGTCTGCAAACCCCATCTAGTTCTCGCATCACTAATCTGGACAGACATCGTGAGTATCAGCAGCTGAGAAAGATTCCCTTGGAAGTTGGGATTGGCGCAGAGGGTCAGGAACTAGTCCTCTGAAGCTCATGGTCGGAGGTCGGTACCTACCAGCACCGACGTCCCGTCATAGCCCTGGAGCTCCCTCGGTCTACCCTCTCCGAGCTAAGAGCGACATCCTCCCTCAAAACACCTTAGCCAGGTATTTATGTCTAGACTCCTTCATATGCGCCATCTTCAACTCTACGACTCAGCACCTCGTGGCCATACAATCAGGTCATTTTGAAATCAAAGAGCTATTGCTTCAGGGTCGATATACACTAGCTTTTCAGCATATGGTGGGCCTTGGGTGGAAACTGAGGATGGCGGCTTCGGGGGCGACTGCATCCAATTTCATCGGTACCTACCCTTATGTTTGTATACCACAACGAATGTGTATGACAGGAAGCGTAACATATGTTTGAGCAGTCTACCTTTTGTCAATCACGTACATGAGCAGTGAAGATGCACTGATGGCTGCAGACAAAAGAAAGAATAGTGCACGAGTGAGAAGACATCAATATCACAATGACATCTAATGGGATTACCATCAAGGAAGTCTTTGTCCTCCTGCAATGACCACTTTCAGCACCACTCATATCAGCCTTGAGGTCGCGCTTTCCTCATTTTTTTCCACCTAGGCTCTTCCCTTGGTAAGTAGGTACACACGCAGCAGTTACCCGGTCTTTTTCAGCCTCCAAGCTGCCCGCCTGCCCGCCTGCCCGCCTTCTCCTTTCTCCATTCTCCCTCTCTATTCTCCTCCTTTCCTCTCACTTCCCTCGCCAACCATCCAGCTTCAAGTCTCCCAGGACCTACTTGAATCTTGACTTTTCTTTCCATTCCATTGAAGTATTCACCGTTGCTCGCACTACTCGTCGCAGCAGCACCCATCCTTACCACAGTCATCGCGACAACGCGGACCACGAATGATGGCGCCCTCCGGATCTGACCAGCTCTCGAAGCCATTCACCAAAGACGAGCGTAAAATTCTTCGCAGAGAGCTTAGGCATCTGGTCAAGAAGAATGCGACTACGCGTAAGAAATTGGAGAAGGGTATCGAGGATACGAAGTCGTTCCATCCCGACGAGCAGCAGTTGCAGCAAGAGAGTCTGGTCAGCATTTCACGCCGCATGAGAAAGAAAGTCGAGAAATTCAAACTTCGTCAGAAACGCGCATTGGCCGACAGGGAGCAGCTTTACAGATTGGATCCCTCTTCCGCTCGGGCTAGCGACATTGACTTTATGAAGGATATGCTCGCAAACCTGGACAAGGGAATCGCATCAGCGAACTCATCAAAGAGGAAGTCTCCCGATGAAATCAACGAGAAATCCAGTTTGGGATGGGACTCAGACTCAACCTCGGACTCGGACAACATGGTCGATGATGTCGACAACCACAGCACTGTTGAGCCTGACCTGGGCACCCCCACCAAAAGGGTTCCCAGAACCGTTGCTTCGAGGACGGTGAGCATCTCATCCTAGGAAGGTGAGACTGCCGAGAAGTCTACCGATGCCGACGAGAAGACCAACAGTGGCGTCAAGGATCAGAACGGAGAAGACAAGAAGCAGAAGAAGAAGCGCAAGAAGTCCAAGTCTTTCTCCGCCGAAGATGCCGAGCTGCCGCAGGTACAGGACTCTACCGACATTGTCCGCAAGGCAAAGAAGCACAAGAGATCAAAATCGCTCTCTGTCCAAGAATTTGGCACGCTGGGGGATTCCAAAATGTCGCCAGGAGACGACTCGACCAACGCAGCGTCCGACAAGAAGAAACTCAAGAAGTCAAAGTCTCTTCTCGTCGATAAGATCAGCAAGGAGATCAAGAATAAGCAGGAGCAACTTGAGCCCGCGTCGCCACAGAGTACCTTTGATAAGAAGAAGGTTTCGACCACTGTTCTTGAGGCCACGAACACTGCTGAAAAGGGTGACGAAGATGGTGCTCTGAATGATTTTGAGATTGTGGAGATGTCGAACAGCAGCAACGGTGCTGCTTTCAACGACAAGAAGCAGAAGATGAAGAGGAAGAACAAGAAGAGATCTCATCCAGTCGATAACGATGGTGGTACCAGCGCCCCGCTGATCGAGGATACTGCAGTCGTTTCTGGTCAGATCACTGCGGCTCCGCCCAAGCAAACACAAAAGGGTCCAACTCGCGTCGACCCTCCTGCAGCTCTTGCTATCTTTAGCGATCTTCGTCCCCGTTACAACCCGTTCTCTGGATTTCAGAAGAGATACAGCACCCAGAAGGCCGAGCCTATCTTCACACCCCGGGAGAAGCCCTCAGCCAAGCCGTCTTCGTCTTCGGCTGTAGAGAGCGGCCAGACTTGGGTTCTAGACACTGTCGGTTCACGCAAGAAAAGCAATAGTGTGACGATGAAGATTGGCAAGGTCGAGACACCCCATCAGACGGACCAGGAATCCCCTACACCTCCATCCACAAAGGAGAACAAGAAGAAGAGGGGTAAACCCAAGAAGGCCAAGGGCCCTGAAACTTCTGTTGCACAGCCCAGTGCGTCTGTCTCGTCTGTTCACGCATCTGGTAATCTCGTTCAGTCTCTTCATCCCGGCTCTCATGGCAAGTTGGCACAGCTAGCCGCAGCTACAGGACCTGCCCAGCGCTCGCCAGAGTTGCAGAAGAAGCTTGCCGCGGACAGGAAGATGATTGCGAAGGAGCGAGATGCTTGGAAGAAGATTATGAAGTTCTGATCTGCATCGTGCGGGTTTCCTTGCAGGAAAACCTCGATGGGCTCTGCAAGTTTGACCCGTTAGTACCTTGTATGATAGATGAATTTGCTCGACAACGGAAATGGCAGAAGGGATTGAGGAAATGGCAACGGCCGGGCTTTACTTTCTCGATAGATCAAGATGCAGACGAATCAACATACAAATAGCCACACCTGCATCGAACCCTGCTCTTCTGGTATCATTGCTTCGCACATCATGACGGAGGACTATGCGACTCGTCATGCCCGGCGACGTTATCACAAGAATGATTATTTGTCATCGAAGAAGGCCTCAGAACATTGGTTGGCAGTGTTTGGGCGTCAAATCACAACGAGCACCACTGGTCGACAAATAGAAAATGTCAGTCAAAGGACTAAGCCGCTCTGGGGGCCATAGTCATGTTCAAGTTATAAAGAGTGTAGATCCTTCCATAAACCGTAAACCATAACCCAGTCTGTGCATTTCTTCCAAAGTCTCAGACAACTGTCTAGTACCTGCCCTTAGCACGGTCACACTCCTCCAAGAAACGATAGATGCCTTCCAAGCCATCATACTCGTCATGCTCACTCGTCTTGGGGGTAGGTGACATGCTTCCATAGCCCTCAGGGTCCGACATCCAGGGGTCCTCCTCCATCTCAATGAACGCCTCTTCCAAATCCACATCCAGACCGGAAAGCGAGCGGAGAGAACCACCTGGAGATGTGAGGGTTTTGGCGTCCTCGCAGTCGGGGGCGAAGGGGAAGCGGAGAGCCATAGGCACGCCGGTCTCGGCGTCGAAATCAGCGTCCTGACCGACAACACCGCGCTGAACGCCATAATCGTCGCACAGTCGTTCCACGGTATCCGCGTCGACGCCAGGGAATCGCACTCGTAACACACTTCCCTTTTCCATTGTCACCGGCAAGTCACCCAACAATGCAATTCGCTTCAAATCGGCGAAAATGATAGCCAGGTCCTTGACGGCACGGGCGAAGTCAACAGAGAGTACATCGAGGAAGCCCTCCTCGCCGAGAGAGGCAGCGGGGGCAGCGGCGCCAGCGGAGGTGAAGCCCGCAGCAGCGGCAGCGGCAAGAGGGCTAAGGGCGGTGATGGTGGGGTTGAGCTTGAAATCGACAAAGGCGCCAGGGTTGCTGCGGGCAGCACCCATCATCTTGACGTAGGCAGCCTGCTCGAGCTCCGAGACGGCACGGTAGCACATCTCGCCGCGGGCGTTGAGGCCGTCGTAGCGTGCCTTCTTGCCCGAAAGGCAAAAGGCCCGCATGGCGACGGAGACGTTGTGGATCACCTGCGCCGGGGCGGCGGGGGTATGGGAGAAGTAGCGGGCTCCACCGCCAGTGCTGTAGCCGCCTTGGGTACGCGGGATGGCGCCGCCGGTGAGGTTCGGTCGGAGGGTGCTCGCGAAGGGGGCACGTCCTGTCATCTGTCCCACGCGGCGCGAGGTGTTTGAGCTCGGGAACGAAGCTCGGTTGAAGCGTGCGGCGTTACCGCTGCCTCCGGCGGTGGAGATCCATCGGCGGACGGTGTTGTTCACGTTCTGGGTCGCTGTCGAGTACCAGCGTCCGGCACGCTTCTGTCTGAGGAGGGCGGCGGGATGGATGGGTTGACGGCCGGTCGGCGTGGTGCGGATAGGAATGTGTGCGAGCTCGCCCTGGGCGGGACGGGCGGCGGCGTTGGCGAGTTTGGTTCTTAGCATCTTGGTCGCTTTGGTAACGTTCGTGACGCCGAGTCGGAGGAAGCGTAGGGCTGTTGGAGCCCATATCTTCCCCGCGACGCCAGACATCTTTGCGGGTGGTTGTGAGTCCTGGGCTCACACGGCCTTTTGGGGGAAAGGACGTTCAGTATCAGGATCGAGAAC